AGTCTTTTGCTTTCGTAGTGAGTGATTTTCGTGTGCAAGTTCGGTACTAGTCCCTCTAGGATTTTCCAGGTGTATATAATCATGTATCTCTCCCGCCTGCGTTCCAGGGAATACAGGTTTAGGAACCTCAAGCGCTCCCAGTAATTGAGGTGTTTTATCTCCGTTATGCGCGCCATGAAGGTTCTCTGTACATTTTCTAGGTCAGCAATTTCACCTGCCTTGAAAGGTGCTGTTAGTGTGCAGCAATATTCCAGCCTAGATAGAACAAGTGACCTGAAGAGTGTCATCATGGGCTTGGCCTCCCTAGTTTTGAAGGTTCTCATTATCCATCTTGTCATTTTTCTAGCAGATGCGATTGATACAATGTTATGGTCCTTGAAGGTGAGATCCTCCGACATGATCACTCCCAGGTCTTTGACGTTGGTGTTTCGCTCTATTTTGTGGCCAGAATTTGTTTTGTACTCTGATGAAGGTAATCAGTCCCTCAGCCTAAATAAAGGCGTACACCACCGCAGTTCTGGAGACTGAAACATGGGCTTGGGCTGAATTAGGTTAGGTTAGGTAAGATTGGTCAGGAAAGAGGACAAGTGTTTCCTGACGCGGGTTTTTGCTTGGACCTTCTGGTCTTTTCTGCAACATTGCAAGCTCCTGATGATGTATTGATTGCAACATGAAAGCCCTAGATCTATCATTCAACTCCCCCCCCCCCCCATGCTAGTTTTGCATAGTAACATGTAAATTACCCACCACGATAACCCAAAAATCAAAGTGACTTGTATCCATTGTAATCTTCGTAATATCTCATCGTTTAAAGCCTGGCTGTAAGTTACAGTATAAATCAGTCAGAGGGTTGACAGAAAGTGCTGCTGCCCGCTGTTGAAGGTTTTTCTTAGTAATTGAGAAGTGAAAGTAATGAGAGCAAGTATGATCTTTATCGTACATCAGTCACCTTTATGACAGACTTGGATGTGACGTGTTTTTAAGTTGTCATTAAGTTATTTAGGCACAGGTAAGTTAGTAAGTTATTTAGGCACAGGTAAGTTAGTAAGTTATTTAGGCACAGGTAAGTTAGTAAGTTGTTTAGGCACAGGTAAGTTAGTAAGTTATTTAGGCACAGGTAACTTAATAAGTTGTTTAGTACACATAATTATCATATATAATAACGTATATGTAAATTACCCAGCAGTATAACCCCCTCAAAAGTCAAAGTGACTTGTTACCATTGTGGTCAGAAATACGGCTTAATTAACAAACCGTTCACTTATTTTGGCAAAATTTGAGGTAAAAATCGAGCATAAATTACTAATTTTCATAATTAATAAATCCATATTAGCTTCCTTGCAGCTGGTATAATTATGTACATTTTCTACTTTCTAAAATAATACTCAATAATATTTTAACAGATAGTAAAATATTATTATTGCATATTGTTATGCAAGGTGTTTTATCTCCGTTATGCGCGCCGTGAAGGTTCTCTGTACATTTTCTAGGTCAGCAATTTCACCTGCCTTGAAAGGTGCTGTTAGTGTGCAGCAATATTCCAGCCTAGATAGAACAAGTGACCTGAAGAGTGTCATCATGGGCTTGGCATCCCTAGTTTTGAAGGTTCTCATTATCCATCCTGTCATTTTTCTAGCAGATGCGATTGATACAATGTTATGGTCCTTGAAGGTGAGATCCTCCGACATAATCACTCCCAGGTCTTTGACGTTGGTGTTTCGCTCTATTTTGTGGCCAGAATTTGTTTTGTACTCTGATGAAGATTTAATTTCCTCATGTTTACCATATCTGAGTAATTGAAATTTCTCATCGTTGAACTTCATATTGTTTTTCTGCAGCCCACTGAAAGATTTGGTTGATGTCCGCCTGGAGCTTTGCAGTGTCTGCAATGGAAGACACTGTCATGCAGATTCAGGTGTCATCTGCAAAGGAAGACACGGTGCTGTGGCTGACATCCTTTGTCTATGTCGGATATGAGGATGAGGAACAAGATGGGAGCGAGTACTGTGCCTTGTGGAACAGAGCTTTTCACCGTAGCTGCCTCGGACTTTACTCTGTTGACTACTCTCTGTGTTCTGTTAGTGAGGAAATTATAGATCCATCGACCGACTTTTCCTGTTATTCCTTTAGCACGCATTTTGTTGCGCTATTACGCCATGTCACACTTGTCGAAGGCTTTTGCAAAGTCTGTATATATTACATCTGCATTCTTTTTGTCTTCTAGTGCATTTAGGACCTTGTCGTAGTGATCCAATAGTTGAGACAGACAGGAGCGACCTGTTCTAAACCCATGTTGCCCTGGGTTGTGTACATGATGGGTTTCTAGAGGGGGTGGTGATCTTGCTTCTTAGGACCCTTTCAAAGATTTTTTATGATATGGGATGTTAGTGCTATTGGTCTGTAGTTCTTTGCTGTTGCTTTACTGCCCCCTTTGTGGAGTGGGGCTATGTCTTTTGTTTTTAGTAACTGTGGGACGACCCCCGTGTCCATGCTCCCTCTCCATAGGATGGAAAAGGCTCGTGATAGGGGCTTCTTGCAGTTCTTGATGAACACAGAGTTCCATGAGTCTGGCCCTGGGGCAGAGTGCATGGGCATGTCATTTATCGCCTGTTCGAAGTCATTTGGCGTCAGGATAACATCGGATAGGCTTGTGTTAATCAAATTTTGTGGCTCTCTCATAAAAAAATTCATTTTGATCTTCGACTCTCAGTCTGGTTAGGCGGCTTGCTAAAAACTGAGTCATATTGGGACTTGAGTAGCTCACTCATTTCCTTGCTGTCATCTGTGTAGGACCCATCTTGTTTAAGTAGGGGCCCAATACTGGACGTTGTTCTCGATTTTGATTTGGCATAGGAGAAGAAATACTTTGGGTTTCTTTCGATTTCATTTATGGCTTTTAGTTCTTCCCACGATTCCTGACTCCTAAAGGATTCTTTTAGCTTAAGTTCGATGCTTGCTATTTCTCTGACCAGTGTCTCCCTACGCATTTCAGATATATTGACCTCTTTTAGCCGCTCTGTTATTCTTTTCCGTCGCCTGTAAAGGGAGCGCCTGTCTCTTTCTGTTTTACATCTACACCTCCTTTTTCTTAGAGGAATAAGCCTTGTGCATACATCTTGTATACCTTGTACATGTACTGGTATACCTTGTACATGTACTGATATACCTTGTACAGGTATACCTTGTACATGTACTGATATACCTTGTACAGGTATACCTTGTACATGTACTGATATACCTTGTACAGGTATACCTTGTACATGTACTTGTATACCTTGTACATGTACTGGTATACCTTGTACATGTACTTGTATACCTTGTACATGTACTTGTATACCTTGTACATGTACTTGTACACCTTGTACATGTACTTGTAGATATAGACAACTAACTACACGAATACCACCTGGTGGTTCACACTTACACTCACTCACCCATTTGACCATAAACAGAAATATTAATCTCAATCTTAAAATAATGAATCCTGTGATACTCCAATATTGAAACTATGTACTGTGCCAAAACAAAAGCATTCACATTGCTAAACTCACAAACTAGTATTTAGTCACTTAGCCATAATACCAACTTACCTCATAATTTGTAATATTTTAAAATTAAGAATTAAACTAAGTCTGCCCGAAATGCCTAGCCATGCTAGGTGTTCCAGTGGTACACTCTGTAATGCCTAGCCATGCTAGGTGTTCCAGTGGTGCACTCTGTAATGCCCAGCCATGCTAGGTGTTCTAGTGGTACACTCTGTAATGCCTAGCCATGCTAGGTGTTCCAGTGGTACACTCTGTAATGCCTAGCCATGCTAGGTGTTCTAGTGGTACACTCTGTAATGCCTAGCCAGCTTGGTGTTTCTAGTGGTACACTCTGTAATGCCCACGCCATGCTAGGTGTTCTAGTGGTACACTCTGTAATGCCTAGCCATGCTAGGTGTTCTAGTGGTACACTCTGTAATGCCTAGCCATGCTAGGTGTTCTAGTGGTACACTCTGTAATGCCTAGCCATGCTAGGTGTTCTAGTGATACACTCTGTAATGCCCAGCCATGCTAGGTGTTCTAGTGGTACACTCTGTAATGCCTAGCCATGCTAGGTGTTCTAGTGGTACACTCTGTAATGCCCAGCCATGCTAGGTGTTCTAGTGGTACACTCTGTAATGCCTAGCCATGCTAGGTGTTCCAGTGGTACACTCTGTAATGCCTAGCCATGCTAGGTGTTCTAGTGGTACACTGTAATGCCTAGCCATGCTAGGTGTTCTTAGTGGTACACTCTGTAATGCCTAGCCATGCTAGGTGTTCTAGTGGTACACTCTGTAATGCCTAGCCATGCTAGGTGTTCTAGTGGTACACTCTGTAATGCCTAGCCATGCTAGGTGTTCCAGTGGTACACTCTGTAATGCCTAGCCATGCTAGGTGTTCTAGTGGTACACTCTGTAATGCCCAGCCATGCTAGGTGTTCTAGTGGTACACTCTGTAATGCTAGCCATGCTAGGTGTTCCAGTGGTACACTCTGTAATGCCTAGCCATGCTAGGGTGTTCTAGTGTACACTCTGTAATGCCTAGCCATGCTAGGTGTTCTAGTGGTACACTCTGTAATGCCTAGCCATGCTAGGTGTTCCAGTGGTACACTCTGTAATGGCCAGCCATGCTAGGTGTTCCAGTGGTACACTCTGTAATGCCTAGCCATGCTAGGTGTTCCAGTGGTACACTCTGTAATTATTATTTTACTACATGTAAACCACACAATAACCAAATTCTGTAAACTCAGCATTGTAATACTTATAGAGAATAAACTTTGAAGTTTAGTTAGTTAGTTTAATATCTTTATTATGCACCCCATACCCATCCTGTGGGCGGTAGTCAAAAGATTACAGAGGTACATAATTGGTCCAGGGACTGGACTCCAAAGTTAACTTTGAATTGAATTGAATTGACATAACAAGGTACGACAAGATACAAAGTTACGTTTTTATAATACATAATGTACGACGGCCATTGTTTACCTCAGCAGCTGAGCACCGTCAGGCTGGTTAACACGTTACTCTCATTATTTACGTTATTTATCCTCCTCCACCTCCTCACATCCCTCATTTATCACATTTCCTGACATCCTACATCAGTAAGAAGTAGCAGGATGATGTAGTGAAGGTGTGAGTGTCAGCACTTGCTGCCGGGGGTCGAGTCACCTGGTGTTGCTGGGTTCAGATTGTGGCTTTTTTTTTTTTTTGAGTCCATGTGAAGTGGTGGAGAGGAAGTGGAGGATAATGTTGGTGAGGTGGTGGTGTTGTGTGGTGGTGGGGATGATGGTGGTAACTCCAACACAGGGGTGGAGTGCCCAGGAGATGCAGTTTTTCGACACCATAGAAGAGGTCAACCAAAATTTTTACGAGTTGCTGGGAGTGACTCAGGTGAGATTATTATTATTATTATTATTTTATTATTATTTATTATTATTATTATTATTATATTTTTATTATTATTATTATTTTTTTATTATTATTATTTTTATTTTTTTTTTTTTTTATTATTATTACTTTATTATTTTTATTATTTTTTGTTAATTTTTAAATTTATTTTTATTATTACTATTATGATTTTTATTTTTTTGTATGTTGATCCCTTTGATGTAGTGAGGGGCTCTTGACCAGGGAATTTAAACCTGACTTACTACGCTTTCCCTCTCACTCACTCATTTTTTTTCATCCCCTCTCATTCTCTAAAAAACCCCTTTCCATTCTCACACCCCTTTCATTTTTCACCAAACTCTCATTCCTCACACCCCTCTTATCCTCACCCCCTTCATTCCTCTCACACCCCTTCTTTCCTCACACACCCCCATTCCTCTCACCCCCTCATTCTCTCACAACCCTCTCATTCTCTCAACACCCTTCATTCTCCTCACCCCCCTTCATTCTCCACACACCCTCTCATTCTCTCACACCCCCTTCATTCTCTCACAACCCCTCATTCTTCAAAACCCCTCCATTCTCTCACAACCCTCTCATTCCTCACACACCCTCTCATTCTTTACCACCCTTCTTTCCCCACACCCTCCTTCCCTCACCCCCTCTCTTTCTCACACCCCCATTCTCTCACAAAACCCCATTCCCCTTCACCCCTTCATTCTCTCACACACCCTCTATTTCTCCCACCCCCTCTCATTCTCTCACACCCCCCTCTCATTCTCTCACACACTTTTTTCTTCTCTCACCCCCTCCATTCTTGCACACCCCCTCTCATTCTTACCACTTTTCTCTCACACCTCTCATTCCTCACCCTCTCATTTCTCACATACCCTCTCATTCTTTCCCCACCCCCTCTCATTCCTCACACCCTCCCCTTTCTTCACACACCCCTCATTCTCACCCCCTCTCATTCTCTCCACCCCTCCTTTCTCACACACCCTCTCATTCTACACCCTCTATTCTCTCACACCCTCTCTTTCTCTCACCTCCTCATTTTCTCACACCCCCTCTCATTTTTTCACACACCCTCTCATTCTCACATACCCTCCATTCTTTCAAACCCCGCTAAAATTCTTTCACCACCCTCTCATTTTTCCCACCCTCTCATTCTTTCACACACCCTCTTTTTCTCTCACACCCCCCTTTATTCTCTCACATACCCCTGTTTTTTCACACCCCCTCTCATTTCACATACCCCTCTTTTTTCAACACCCTTTTTTCAACAACCCTTCATTCTTTCACACCCCTTCTTTCAAAAAACCCCCTCTTTCCTCACACACCCTCTCATTCTCTCACAACCCTCTCATTTTTTTCACACCCCCTTCATCTCACACACCCTCTCATTCTCACATACCCCTCATTCTTTACATACCCTCTCATTCTTTCAAACCCTCCTTTTTCACACACCCTCTCTTCTTTCACATCCCTCTCATTCTCTCACCCCTCATTCTTTACACACTCTTCATTCTTTCACTACCCTCCATTCTCTCACCCCCCTTCATTCTTTCCATACCCTCTCTTTCTTTCACACACCCTCTCATTCCCAAATACCCTCTCATTCTTTCACCACCCCTCATTTTTTCACATACCCCTCATTTTTTCAAAACCCCCTTCATTCTTTCACACACCCTTCATTCTTTCCCATACCCTTCATTTCCTCACACCCTCTCATTCTTTCGCACACCCTCCATTCTTTCACACACCCCTCATTCTCAATACCCCTTTTTCTTTCACACACCCTCCATTCCACTTACCCTCTCATTCTTTCACACACCCTCTCATTCTCACACCCCCTCCTTTTTCACTCCCCTTCTTCTTTCACACACCCTCTCATTTTTTAAACATACCCCCCTTTCTTTCCACACCCTCTCATTCTCACCACCCTCCATTTCTCACATCCCTCTATTTTTTCCCAAACCCTTCATTCTTTCACACACCCCTCTTTCTTCACACACCCTCTATTCTTTCACCCCACCCCCCCATTCTTTCACACACCCTCTCATTCTTCCACATACCCTCTCATTCTTTCACAAACCCTCTCATTCTCTCACACCCTTTCATTCTCTCACACACCCTCTCATTCTCTCACACACCCTCTCATTCTCTCACTCTCACCTCACCTGATAACATGTTTACTCCATCATGTTTTCACACTTAGCTTAGAGTAAATATATTTATTGTAGAAAGTCTTAAATAAATGAAGAATGGCTATAATTGAAACTGCTGTATTAGTGAAACACTGTGAAGTGAAGCGCTGCAAAGTGGGGCCCATACATACCTGTACTTTCCACCATGCTATTAAATAGTTCTTAATCCTGTAATGCCATTTTTCCCTTCCAACACAGAAGACCTGGTCTGACAATGGGCAGTGTGGAAGAGAATCCCCAAAAACCACTAATGTATCCACCAGATGTGGAATTTTGCACCAGTTGCGAGTTAAAATTTACAGCAAGTTCCACTTTCGCGAGCTTCGAACATTCATCAAGCCCAGCATAACATGTATATACAATATTTTATGATGTTTTCATGTGTTTTATGATTGTTCGTGGTTCAATAGGTTTAGGAAGCAGTATTGTTAGGCTATGTAAATGCTATCATTATATTTCCCTACAATATATTTGCGCATCAAAACATCCACAAACACTACAGTACAGTATTATTATATTTCCATACATCATATTTGCACAACAGACATTCGCAAATCTTGAAGATTCGCTAGGTTCTTGTTCCCCTAACCCTCACGAATATGGAGGGCCTCCTGCACAAACTTAACTCTTGTCAATTCGGAGGTTCACTTGTGTATATAATAACCTAAAGAAAACTGCTTTACTAAGTATTCTTATTAAACCCATCATAAGGTTTTAGGTAAACAGGAATTAAAGGTTAGTCAATAGTAGGTTATGTAGAAAATTTGATATTCAGATACAACATTGATTTTCTGGACCTCCGATTCCAAAACCTTTCTATATTACTGATTTTTCCGCCTTTAGAGAGCACAGTATTCCTTGGTCTTGGGGTTGGATTAGTGACGCACAGTTTGGTGGTAAATATGTACACTGCCGCGGGAGTTTCAAGTTTCTGCTCGTAAATTTGTATGGTTTCAGACCATCAGTGTCCAGAAAATTCATGTTGCACCTGTACTAAATGTTGTGAAGTACTTTGGAAATGCCTTTAAATAAGGTATTTTCTGGCATATAAAGTGAGCTTTTTACTGCACAAAAAGTCTTTGAAAATCACCCTTGACCTCATATGCTCAAGGTCAGGGTCAAGGGTAGGTTTTGTGTTACGCTTTACCAGCTGTTTATTAACATTACGTTACAGTTGCTGGAAACATCATCTTATATACTGGAAAATGCAGTATATGCAATGTATATTATAAAATTGATTTATTATCTCATGCATATGTTTATCTCCATTTATGAAAATAAGTCACTTTATCTGACTTTTTTGGGTTATTCCAGGTTCTCTACACATATGCTGCTATGTATGATAATCTATGTAATTGTATTTATGTATACCTGAATAAATTTACTTACTTACTTATTGTAGTGCAGTAATTGTATGTGATTTCCAACAGGATGCTCCATTATCGGAGATCAAGAAAGCTTATCGAAGACTCTCACTTCTCACTCATCCCGACAAGAATGATTCTCCTGATGCGGAGGAGAAATTTAGGCAGGTAAGACTCCAGTATAAATGAACCTTGCTATTGATGAAGAATGAGACACTTTGGGAGTCTGTATTGTGGTTAAGGGACTGATTACCCAAAACTCCTCCTCATCTTCCAGCGTTCTTACCTGTAATGGGCTAAAGAAGCCACTGGCTGGCAGAACATTCCCGTAGTAAAGGTTACCATATGTTGAACAAGTGTCTAATACTTCAAATTGTCAGTTTTCTAAATCATTCAAGGATTACAATGCTGAGTTTACAGAATTTGGTTATTGTGTAGTTTACATGTAGTAAAATACTAATTACAGAGGGGGCCACTAGAACATCTAGCATGGCTAGGCATTTTGGGCTACATCGTATCTTACCAATTATGTTGACTTTGAAATTGTTATACAGTGGCACCTTGGGTTACGAACTTAATTCGTTCCAGAAGGCTGTTCACATGCCATTACCGAATGAATTTGTTCCCATAAGGAATAACACAAATTAGATTAATCCATTTCAGACCCCCAAAAATACACTCACAAGAGCACTTACAAAAATACACTTACATAATTGGTCGAGTTGGGAGGAGTTCGAGTACCAAGTTACCACTGTACTTTATGAGGGCATCATCAGGAACTTCTCCATGGAAAAATAAGCAAAAAATGAAAGATTACCAGCCTTCAAATCACTGCCAAATAGCATTAAGACAAATTGGGATAAAATATGAAGTAAAATTATGAATTATTTTTATATTTACACACTTCGGTAGAGAACTTCCAGATTAGTTATTATGAAATAGAAACTGAAACTCTCTGAGTATTGTCTGAAGTTACTAATGATTTTTATAATTAGTTCACCCCTCAGGGAAGGTTCCTTGATGTTGGTGAGGGGCTCTTGATTTAGGGAATTGGATCTGTGCTCCAGTTCCCCGAATTAAGCCTGAATGCCTTCCACATCCCCCCCAGGCGCTGTATAATCCTACGGGTTTAGCGCTTCCCGTTGATTATAATAATAATATAATTACTTCAAACATGGTTGATATCAACTATATTTCATTCTTCCCATTTTTCTAATTATCTGCACTATGTAGGTTGACACAGCAATAACATTTGTTGCATAATAGATGGCAATAGATTGTGTGCTTTAGCAGCTCCAGAAATTCACTTTTAATTCAGTGGTAATAGGTTGTTGGTAGACAGGAACCACCCAGGTTGGTACTACCATCCTGTGGTAATAGGTTGGTAGACAGGAACCACCAAGGGAGGTACTACCATCCTGTGGTAATAGGTTGGTAGACAGGAACCACCCAGGTTGGTACTACCATCCTGTAGTAGTAGGTTGGTAGACAACAACCACCAAGGGAGGTACTATCATCCTGTGGTAGTAGGTTGGTAGACAGGAACCACCCAGGTTGGTACTACCATCCTGTGGTAGTAGGTTGGTAGACAGGAACCACCCAGGGAGGTACTACCATCCTGTGGTAGTAGGTTGGTAGACAGCAACCACCCAGGGAGGTACTACCATCCTGTGGTAGTAGGTTGGTAGACAGCAACCACCCATGGAGGCACTACCATCTTGTGGTAGTAGGTTGGTAGACAGCAACCCCCCAGGGAGGTACTACCATCCTGTGGTAGTAGGTTGGTAGACAGCAACCACCCATGGAGGTACTACCATCCTGTGGTAGTAGGTTGGTAGACAGCAACCCCCCAGGGAGGTACTACCATCCTGTGGTAGTAGGTTGGTAGACAACAACCACCCAGGGAGGTACTGCCATCCTGTGGTAGTAGGTTGGTAGACAGCAACCACCCAGGGAGGTACTACCATCCTGTGGTAGTAGGTTGGTAGACAGCAACCCCCCCAGGGAGGTACTACCATCCTGTGGTAGTAGGTTGGTAGACAGGAACCCCCCAGGGAGGTACTACCATCCTGTGGTAGTAGGTTGGTAGACAACAACCACCCAGGGAGGTACTGCCATCCTGTGGTAGTAGGTTGGTAGACAGCAACCACCCAGGGAGGTACTACCATCCTGTGGTAGTAGGTTGGTAGACAGCAACCCCCCAGGGAGGTACTACCATCCTGTGGTAGTAGGTTGGTAGACAGCAACCCCCCAGGGAGGTACTACCATCCTGTGGTAGTAGGTTGGTAGACAGGAACCCCCCAGGGAGGTACTACCATCCTCTGGTAGTAGGTTGGTAGACAGCAACCACCCAGGGAGGTACTACCATCCTGTGGTATTAGGTTGGTAGACAGGAACCACCCAGGGAGGTACTACTATCCTGTGGTATTTTGGTAGACAGGAACCACCCAGGGAGGTACTACCATCCTGTGGTAGTAGGTTGGTAGACAGCAACCCCCCAGGGAGGTACTACCATCCTATGGTAGTAGGTTGGTAGACAGCAACCCCCCAGGGAGGTACTACCATCCTGTGGCAGTAGGTTGGTAGACAGCAACCCTCCCAGGGAGGTACTACCATCCTGTGGTAGTAGGTTGGTAGACAGGAACCACCCAGGGAGGTACTACCATCCTGTGGTAGTAGGTTGGTAGTCAGGAAATCCCCAGGGGGGTACTACTGTTCTGCCAAGTGAGTGTAAAACGGAAGCCTGTAATTGTTTTACATGATGGTAGGATTGCTGGTGTCCTTTTTTCTGTTTCATAAACATGCAAGATTTCAGGTACATCTTGCTACTTCTACTTACACTTAGATCACACTACACATACATGTACAAGCATATATATACATACCCCTCTGAGTTTTCTTCTATTTTCTTTCTAGTTCTTGTTCTTGTCTATTTCCTCTTATCTCCATGGGGAAGTGGAGCAGAATTCTTCCTCCGTAAGCCATGCGTGTTGTAAGAGGCGACTAAAATGCTGGGAGCAATGGGCTAGTAACCCCTTCTCCTGTATATATTACTAAATGTGAAAGGAGAAACTTCTGTTTTTCCTTTTGGGCCACCCCGCCTCGGTGGGATACGGCCGGTGTGTTGAAAGAAGAAAGAAGAAGGTCACACTACACTTGCATATACAAGCATATATATACACACCCCTCTGGGTTTTCTTCTATTTTCTTTCCTAGTTCTTGTACTTGTTTATTTCCACTTTTCTCCATGGGGAAGTGGAACAGAAATTTTTCCTCAGTAAGGCATGCATGTTGTAAGAGGCGACTAAAATGCCGGAGCTAGGGGCTAGTAACCCCTTCTCTCGTATACATTTCTAAATTTTTCTCTTTGGGCCACCCTGCCTCGGTAGAATATGGTTGGTTTGTTGAAAGAAGAAAATTAAATATGATAAATGGGTTAAATAATGTTTTGATATGCTTGTTTCCCCTCTTTGTAATTCCCATCTTTTTATTTTGACCTCTTAAGAGACCGTATATAAAGCAAACAATTAGGTATTGCCCTTTTAGTCTTAAGTTAGGTTTAAATTCGCCTGAAATTCTCTGAATAAGAAAGGGAATGTTTTTTGCGTGTACACCTAAATGTTACCCATCGCTGTACAAACATTGTATCATTCTGAAATAAAATATTGTTCTACTATCATTATTATTTGGCCACATCTCAAACAAGGCAAAAGATTTGATATCAAATTTTGCTTCAGCTTGTATCTGTTTATGAAATACTGCGGGACGAAGAGCAGCGTGCACATTATGACCAGTTGCTGATTGACGGCTTGCCTGATTGGCGCTCGGCCATCTACTACTATCGAAAGGCACGCAAGATGTCTATGGTGGAGATTTCAATAATACTGACTGTGGTAATATCAGTCACTCAATATTTGATGGCCTGGGGGTCATACATAGATAAAAAACACTGCATGGTGAGTTTTTAGTATATAAAACTGGTTACAGAAACACATATTTTTTCTGCTTTTACATGCATTATTTTTCTTAATTTCTCTTTTAAAAAATTGTATTAAAAATTTCACATTTTATGAGTAGTGTAATAATATTGATTGATGATTAATTACTGTTTGTGAAAAGGTAAAGATTAATGCTTACATTATCAAAGATATTTCCTCTCATGCTCATAAAAAAAAATGGTTGTATTTATGGTTTGATGTGGAGATGCTGATGAATAAATTTTGTGAAAGAACAGAAGCTCAAGAATTGTAAAATCCCAAATTATTATCATTATTATTAGTGAGTATTGTGTGTGTGTGTGTGTGTGTGTGTGTGTGTGTGTGTGTGTGTGTGTGTGTGTGTGTGTGTGTGTATGTGTGTGTGTGCTGTGTGTTGTTTGTGTGTTTTGTGATTGTGTGTGTGTTGTTTGTGTATTGTGTGATTGTGTGTGTGTTGTTTGTGTGATTGTGTGTGTGTGTGGGTGTTGTGTGTTGTTTGTGTGTTGTGTGATTGTGTGTGTGTTGTTTGTGTATTGTGTGATTGTGTGTGTGTTGTTTGTGTGTTGTGTGATTGTGTGTGTGTTGTTTGTGTATTGTGTGTGATTGTGTGTGTGTGTGTGGGTGCTGTGTGTTGTTTGTGTGTTGTGTGATTGTGTGTGTGTTGTTTGTGTGTTGTGTGATTGTGTGTGTGTTGTTTGTGTGTTGTGTGATTGTGTGTGTGTTGTTTGTGTGTTGTGTGATTGTGTGTGTTGTTTCTTGGGTTGCATATATGTATTGTGTCTTGTGTTGTGTGTGTGGTTGTGTGGGTGTTGTCTGCACTGTGTGTGTGTGGGATTGTATGTGTTGTGTGTCCAGGGTCGTGCAGGCGGGGTTGTTTGTGTACATGTGTGTGGGGTTGTGTATGTGTGTTCAGGGTCGTGTGGGCGGGGTTGTGTGTGTAGTGTGTGTAGGGTTGTATGTGTTGTGTGTTCAGGGTCGTGCAGGCGGGGTTGTTTGTGTACGTGTGTGTGGGGTTGTGTATGTGTGTAGGGTTTGTTTGTGTAGGATTGTGTGGGTGTTGTTTAATCAAAAGTTTATAAGTTTACTTAGAGTTACTTTTTACATTTATGCTAGCCAGGTGAGAGCATTATTTCCAGGATAATTGTCACTTCTGATTCAGTTTAATTTTAAAGGAAGAAACCTTGCTGAAGAAATACAAAATCAAAGATGGCAAGAAGAAGAAGGCGGAAGATCTAGAGAACATACAACTGATGGAAGAGGAACTGAGTCAGATCCCCAAGCCCAGGTAAGTTACCTTCACTACAGAATACAATGGAACCTTGGTACTTGAACGTAATTCATTCCAGAAGGCTGTTTGAGTGCCGATCCGTTCGTGTATTGAAAAAATTCTTTGCAACTAATTTTCTTTTTGGTTGATTGTTGTCACTAATCTTTGTAGGCCTCATGGTGACTTATTTATACAAATAATATAAAAAAAAACACCATAAAATGCTAAGAAACATGAAATAGTTTACAGTGAAGTTTTGACAGGTTGTGTTTGTTTGGTTGACTGCTGAGCTTTGTTTGAGTAGGGAGCTGTTTGTGTACTGAGGTTCCACTGTACTAGGTCACCGTTTCCAGTATAGGTATGGTCTTCATCTTCATAGATACAGTAGACCCCCAGTTATCGGCCGTAATCCGTTCCAGAAGGTCGGCCAATAACCAAAATGGCCGATAACCGAAATAATATTTCCCATAAGAATTAATGGAAATACAATTAATCCGTTACAAACAAAAATATTCACAAAAAATAATTTTTTTTTTAACAATTATGTAAGTATTACAAACCATTATTGAAGGCTAATACAGTGGACCCCCGCATAACGATTACCTCCGAATGTGACCAATTATGTAAGTGTATTTATGTAAGTGCGTTTGTATGTGTATGTTTGGGGGTCTGAAATGGACTAATCTACTTCACAATATTTCTTATGGGAACAAATTCGGTCAGTACTGGCACCTGAACATACTTCTGGAGTGAAAAAATATCGTTAACCGGGGGTCCACTGTACTGGCTTCTGGAAGATAGGGAGGAGGAAAGAGGGAGGAGTTAGTGTTTGGAAGGGGAATCCCCCTCCATGAAGACTTAAGGTAGCAAAGCCTTCTCTGGGGTTACTTCCCTTCTCTGTCTTTTATTGCTACTAAGACCAGCTTGAGAGTCACTGGACCCTTGTCTCACAAAATAACTGCCCAGAGTGCTCTGTTTCTGGCATCTCTTTAAGATTTCCCTGGAGTGGGACAGGGTTTTATCACTAAACATGTTGCAGATATGGCTTGTTACAGCTTTGTCATAGTGGTGTTTCTCTACAAAAGCTTGCACCCTAGTCCACATTGCACACACCTCTTTAATCTCTGAAGAAGGCACTTCCTTCACTCCCTCTTCCTCCTCTTCTGAAGCAGGTTCCTCAGCTAGTCTGTTGCTGTTCGAGATGAAGCTCTTGCAGCTCTTCAATGGTTAGCTCTTCCCTGTGGTCCTCCACCAACTCTTCCACATCCCTGCCACTCATCTCCAACCCCAGGGACTTTCCCAGTGCCACAATAGAGTCCATAAGGGTCGGCAGGGTCAGGGTCAGCCCCAAACCGTTCAAAATCCCTCTCTTGGACACAATCTGGCCACAGTTTGCTCCAAGCAGAGTTCAAAGTCCTGGAAGTCACTCCCTCCCAAGCCTTACCTATAAGGCTTATGCAGTGGAGGATAGTGAAGTGATTCCTCCAGAACTGTCTTAGGGTCAACTGAGTGTCCGAGGTCACTTTAAAGCACTTTTGAAACACTGCTTTTGTGTAGAGTTTTTTGAAATTAGAAATGACCTGCTGGTCCATGGACTGGAGGAGAGGAGTGGTGCTAGGAGGCAAGAACTTCACTGTGATGAAACTGAAGTACCTAAACACTTGGTCTTGCAAGTCTGGAGGATGTGCAGGAGCATTATCCAGTTCCAGGAGGCACTTGAGTGGCAGTCTCTTTTCCAGGAGGTATTTTTTCACACGAGCCAAACACATCATTAACCTACTCTTTGAAAATTTGCCTTGTGATCCATGCCTTATGATTAGCTTTCCACATCACACACAATCTATTCTTCATGACATTGTTTTTCTTAAACATTCTGGGATTTTTCAGAGTGTATACACCATAAAGGCTTCACTTTGAAATCCCCACTAGCATTACCACACAACAAAAGAGTAAGCCTGTCTTTCATAGGCTTGTGTCCTGGCAGTGCCTTTTCCTCCTGAGTAATGTAGGTCCTGTTTGGCATTTTCTTCCAAAACAAGACTGTTTCGTCACAATTGAAAACTTGTTGGGGTTCGAATCCTTCAGCCTTTACATAGTCCTGGAATTCATGAACATACTTTTTCAGCTGCACATTTGTCAGAACTTGCATTCTCACCATGCCTTACAACACGTATGCCACTATGCTTCTTAAATCATATCAAACCATCCTTTGCTGGCCCTAAATTCACAAACTGCAGCACTTGTTCCGGGCATTTTCTTTGCAAGATCCTCATGCAACTGCTTTGCCTTCTCACTAATGATCGACTCCACATCACTGTCTCCCACTAATTCTTTTTCCTTAATCCACATAATAATAACTTTTCCATCTCTTCCATTATTGGTGGCCTTGTTTAGTTAGAAAAGTTACTCCTTTGTAACACTAGCATCTTTGATTTGTTCTTTCTTTGCAGGATGGCTGTAATTGTTGATTTATTCTTGCTTGTACATCCTGGCAAGTTCCACCACCTTCAAACCACTCTTAAACTTTTCTATCACTTCACGCTTAAATTCCATGGTGTTTCTCACTTTTTTTACCACAGGAACTTTACTAGGAACTTCTTTGGAGCCATCTTCACTTATTTCACAGTTGCACTGCAAGAAAAACCACTAAAAACAAGGGTTTAAACAAGCGAAATGTTTGGATGAAATGAGTGGAAACTCCTCAGCAACTGAGAGACAAAGCCAAACTGAATGCAAGCTGCCCCCAGCCGGCGGATGGATGCGTCCAAAACGGCCAATAACCGGGACCGAAAAACCTGCTGATAACCAGTTGGCCAATAACCAAACTGGCTGATAACCGGGGTCCACTGTACCTAGGTCACATCCTCAGTGCATGTATGTAATGAGGATGTGACCAAGAACCTGCACTTAGTAATTTAAACAGAGAAGGGGTTACTAGCCCCTTGCTCCTGGCATTTTAGTCACCTCATGTATATTTATTGTGTTTACAACATTATGCTATAAAAGGCCAATTCGGTAAAACAATAATTTAAATTAAGTAAGTAATTTATTCAGGTAGACACAAATACAGTTTACATAGAATTATCATACATATTCAGGCCATATGTGTAGAGAACCTAGGATAACCCAAACAATCATCAGAACAGAGTGACTTATTCCATTGGTGTTCCTTTTACCTATTATTTATAAATATATAGGGTTAAAATATTTTCTTATTATTACTATAAAGAATATAACATCCTGATTATCATACTAAAAAGACTACTAACTAGGGTCATTAAGCACTACTACAATACGAGGGTACATTACTTACTAGGAATCATGTAAAATTATAACACGTATGTCTCAGATAAAAAAATAGAAAATCAATTCCCCCCTTTCTGTATCTACATTCCATCAGCACACCTTTTGGCTACTCTTCTTGGAACTGGTTCATGCTATGACAGGCTTTGACATGTGTGGGTAGTCCTGTTCCATCCTTTATAGCTGTACAATAAAAGGAGTTTGCAAGCCTGGCCAATGACTGTGGGAACTACAAAGTTGTGCTCTCTCCCCGCCTAAGTGCGATGATTGCTTTGGATTCCCAACCTTGACAAAATTGACAGCAAGATATTTCGACACTGTTGTGAGGCAATTTTATAAACATGATATAGCTTCAGTTGTTTTACTCTGTCTTTCAAACATTCCACATATCCAACTGCTGTTAATTCATCCTGGCGCTACATTATCTCTTGTCCCCTGCCCCAGGATGAAATCTACGATTTTGGTTCTGGGTGATTTGCAGGGGCTGGATGCGTTTCGGGGGTTGGTGGATGGGTTTTGGCAAAGGCATGAGAACCACATGGGAAGGAGCAAGGGCGTTTCCGTGAGGGGGGGATGGGGGCTTGGGTATAAGGGTAGACATAGGGTCCTGCGAGCCTCAAGTAGATAGACATCTGTGGCTTGTCTATACAGAACTTCAGCAGCAATCGCTTATCATTACTACAACTGTTCCTATCAACTCTCCCTGACATCAATGGTCCAAAGGGAATTCCAAATATTTTACATGAAACCAAAGTGATGGTGCTCCCCATTACATTGAACATTAAAGTTATTTACCCTTCTCATTTATGTTTTCGTGCCAAGAGAGAATGTCTTCAGTTTTCCCTAGTGTAAATGATAGTCTTGTTGTCTACTAACCATTTGCTGCAGGACCCAGTTCCAGTGTTAACCCTTTCAGGGTCCGTCCCGTAGATCTACGCGCTTACGTTCAGGTCCAAACCGTAGATCTACGCCATGGAGCTCAGCTCACTCTGATAAACTGTGAGTGTACATTTGGGCCTAGATATGATATAAATACATCTATGTGGTATGTGTGCCCACATAAAACAGATCCCAGCAGCACACTGGGTATAATGAAGAAAAAAAATGAAAACATGATTTTTCGATTAAAACCGCAAATTTGCAGTGTTTTTTTTTTCCGTATGTTTATTATAGTTTTATTAGCGATTTTCTTGGTCTCATTGATAGAATGGTAGAGCCATTACAGAAATAGAGAGGATTTTTGATTGGTTTTAGCACTGGGAAATGACTTGAAACTGAGCTCAAAGTAGCCGAAAGGTTTAAATTTTTGCCGATAGTCAAGAGTAAACAAACGGACGCTCACACTTACTAATACACATCAGCTGGGGGTCTAATCTACGTTCACAAATATGTGATGATATTTTTACAATTAATACAAGATTGCAATGGGGGGGGGGGGGGGGGGGGGGGGGGGGGGGGGGGGGGGGGGGTGGGGGGGGGGGGGGGGGGGGGGGGGGGGGGGGGGGGGGGGGGGGGGGGGGGGGGGGGGGGGGGGGGGGGGGGGGGGGGGAGGGGGGGGGGGGGGGGGGGGGGGGGTAACAGTAAATCTTCTAATTTTTGTGTGAATAAAAATTCATTATGTGAATATAAGAATCAAAATGGTGAATTTTTGTTGTAAAGCCTCAAACATAAATAATGAACAAGGAAATGTTAGTTAACGTGCCAGGCATGCCTAG